GATAAGGGAGACAATAACTTCCTCTTTGTGTGGCTGAGTTGCCAAACAGAACTACACAGAAAATCTTCACAAGACAAGCTGTCAGCATGGACCAAGACATGGTTGGATACATTGTTCTTCTGGTGATTGTCACCCTCCTAAGTGTCATCCAAAATGGTAAGGCTGAAGATCGTATATGAAACCAAAAATTGTATACAAACCCCAGAAAGAAGGATATATTTTGCTTTGGGTGGGTAGATTGAATAAGATGTGTTTTCATGGACTTGTTTTTGAATGCCTTCATGCCTGTTGATATCATTTGAAAATTTCCAAATATCTGCTTTCCTTTTTTTTCAACGTTGGGGGTTGCCTAGGTCAAACTTAGCAGTTTTAATATTATGTTTTTAAATTTTCAATATGGATTAATAGTATGGACCTTCAACTAAAATTAACTTGATGAAAATTGAAAGAGAAAAAGTTGGATGTGGCAAATTACAAACTGGAGTAGAAATTTATTATCCAGCACTATATTCGCATGACTTGAAGTATTGACTTGGCCTTAATCCCTCAGCTCTCAAATATATGATCTAGCATCAGAGGGGTTTCTTGAGGGCAATAGCTCTGGCTCTTCCTACCTCAAGAAGTTAAATTCCATTGCTTTTTAATGATCCACCATTTTCTTTCAATAAATCCATTCCTTTGATATTGTTAAAACTAACAAGAACTCCTATGTGTGTTTTCTCTTGGCAGCTCCTTTAGTTTCTTGTGAATTATAGTAAGTTTTTATACATTTCTTGAAGGTTGCTGCTTATTTTGAGCAACATTTTTTTCAGAGGAAAGGATATGTATTTCTTTCTAACAACAGCTATAACTATAACAACTATCTGCCTTGTACTGATTCTGGCTTCTTGATTCATAAATTTGAGTACTGGCTACAATGATTGGAGAGGTTCTACAGGTGTTTAGAGTGGAAATGCCAGGAATTAAGTCTGGAATTTTTGCATGTAAAACATGGGATCTACCACTCAGTTGCAAGGCTTCCATTTCATTTCCTTGTTCTCTGCTGGGCTGGATGAGATGATAAAAGTGTCTGGGGAAGGTAATGGGAGTGATAAGAGGAAGAGGGATTAGGCCATTTCCTCACTAGTCATTTACAGCATCTTTTTGAATCATCCAACCATCCTTGTGCTGAAATATTAGACATTTATACTGCCTAGCTAGTAGGATAATGGCCTTAATAATGCTGTTTTTAAGACTTTAATTTCAGTACACAGATGTTCAGGCAAGCTTCATATTCAACTCAAATGGTGGTGAAAATTCCAGATGAAGAGCTGAACACCAAAAAAAGGGGGGTGGACAAAGAAAGAACCCCACTGCAGATGTATTGAAGCAATGTGTATTTATGTGTACAGGAATAAAACCATACTGTACATTCCATTTTGTTTAAAATGGATTGGAAGTAACTTTACTGGCAATCTTCTATTTTCTTTCTTTAGGTTCACTCCTTGAAATAGTAGCATGATATTAGTGCAAAAGTAACCGGACACAAAAATTGGCACCTAACCATGGCACTTTCTGTTAAGTTCCATGGCATTGCTTTCATCAAGTTCTCAACCTATGAGTGGGTATTTAGTTATAGTACTAGTACTAGGCCAGCCTCGGTTGTGTAAAATCTCGTAGACTCTATCAACCAATGCCAAGGAACAAAGGCAACAGAAGCAGAATAAGATCAGCACATTACATACTAGTAGAATTTCCAACTGATTCAAGAACCAGTGGAGGGCACATCAACTCAGCCATGGGAAAAGACACCTAAAGAGAGTCTTTCTAGGATAATATTTTCTAAGGCTAGACTGGAATCATTTACTTTACCTGACATTTTTTTCTTAAGACATTGAAGAATATTTCCACTTTTTTACAGACCGATATAATATTTTGAAGTTCCCAAATCATTTAATAAGAACAGAAAGAAAAATAAAGAGTGAGGGGTGCTTGGTGCTCTCTGAGCTTGGTTGTTTTCTTGCAGACATTTCATTCCCAAACTAGGTAACACCGAAGGTAACATCACCAGTGCTAGCTAGCACTGGCGATGTTACCTAGTTTGGGTAATGAAATGTCTGCAAGAAAACCACCAAGCTCAGAGAGCACCAAGGACCCCTCATTTCAACTCTGAGCTACAAATATTCTTCTTTAAAAGAAAAGAGTATTTAGGAGTGAAATTTAAATCAGAGAAGAGAGATACCAATCTTCCTCTGTCATAGACCAGAATAAAAATTAAAACAAAATATAATAAAATAGAATAGAACAAGACATAATAGTGTATTGCAATTAATGCTAGAATCATCAATAGTTGACCAAAATCTGCCTAATTTTACAGACAGTGTAGCAGAATTTAGCTATGTTCAAAGATGTTTTCATCATGCTAATCAACTGTAGCAGCTGTACATAAAAGAGATCAGAATTTCCCAGATATTTCGTCAGGTAAGGTGTTTATAAAATGAGCTTCTGAGTCCTTATAGAGCAGGGGTCTTCAAACGTGGCCCTTTAATGACTTGTGGACTTCAACTCCCAGAATTCCTCAGCCAGGCATGCTGGCTGAGGAATTCTGGGATTTGAAGTCCACAAGTCATAAAAGGGCCAAGTTTGAAGACCCTGTTATAGAGGTGCAATATAACTGTCAACGCTGCTAACATTGGATATTTTTGCATTGACAACAGATGGAAATGTAGCCATCTTTTACCTTTTGTTTTTAGAGTTAGATGATGCTGGGAGGGGGGATGTGAACAAGAGTCCAGCTAGACCAGGGGTAGGCAACCTTGGCTCTTTTATGACTCGTGGACTTCAACTCCCAGAATTCCTGAGCCAGCTACCCGAGCTAGACATAACAACACTAAACCTAGCCTAAGAAACAAGGTTATTGTAACTAGAGCTGATAAGGAATTGGCCGGCTGGAGAACTGGAGAGGAAGCCCGTGCTTCAAGCTAATTGGGGAATGTGATTTATGACTGTTAATTGGAGGAGGGAATTGTGCTTTGATACTATGTGCTCAGGGGAGGGGAATTCAGTTTTTGGCTTCGATTATGCAGTGCCGATATTATGCTACTCAAAATAAAGATTCTTTAAGGTAAACAATGCCTTGAAGTTCTTTTGAAGAGTTTCATCTGTCAGAACCATGACAATAACAGGACTTGAGTTGCGGTTTCAATGGCCCCTTATCCACAGGGGCACAGTCTCAGCTCATATCTCAGTATTTTTGTATCAGCCCTCCAGAACTGCTGTGAGGAGAGCATTACAATGTGCTAGAGTTAGGGCCCTCCAAAATTTAGAGACAGTTATATAAATATCTTGCTGGTTTGTGAAGGGAAGACTGACTGTTAAAGAAACCATTCTTGGGTAAAGCAGATGGATCCTGTTGGACTTCCTGATTTTTAATACATTGTCTAAATGCACTAAGTGCATGCTCATAGCCCATCAATAGGAATTCCTCCTTGCAGAAGCTGATATGTTGGAGTTTAAGTGAAATAGTCCTAATCCATGTTGACTTATAATTATCCTCCATAAGAAGAGGGCTGAGACCTGTGGGAAAGAACAGTAATTTCAGTCAGCATGCTATAATGCAAATCTCTCCATCTGTTTCAACCTTGTACAATCGGCCTCCCTCCTTACTACTGGATTAGAAACATAGGGTGCAATAGCCCTTAGAAATTTGGGATTGCACTCTTTTGAGAGGGTAAAAGAGGAATAAGGTCCTAGCTAGACACAGAACAGTAGTGTTTTTTCCTGTTAATTTTTTTATGGTTTATCTCATTATGCTCTCACTTTTTCATATACCTCCTTCCTGCTTCATGTTCCAAAGTAATCTGTATTTTAAACTAAATGAAGGAAATATGGGAAATTATTTCCAGCATTGAAAGAGAGTGGGTGTGGAAAGAGTTAAATTCCATCATGATAGTGCTTCTCCTTTGAAATGTTCCAGAGAACTGCCTTTATTTTTTTAAAAATGGAATCCAGGCTTCATAGCTATGTGCAAATAAGGTCCAGATGAGGTCAGAAGTACAATCTTCAGGCAGGAGTAGCTGAATTTTCTGTTACCTTAAAGGCAGGGAGAGTGACACATAACTCCACCGCTGCTCCGGTTTTGTGAATCAATCTGCAGCTGGCCTGGATGCATAGATATGAGTGCAAAGCACAGGCAAAGGAAGTACAACATTTGGAAACAAAGTTGAGGTTTCTTTTCAGGAAGTTGTGATGCAACTATGTAAATGGACCTTGGTCATTCAGGAAAAAAAGAAAAAATTAAAAAAGAAGACGGGTCTTTCAGATACTTGCGTTAAAGTGCTTCCACCAGGCCTTGAGCTGGCAGGTAAGCATGTTGAACATCAACTATGCTGTCCCCATAGTCATCCTTCTTGTGTCACAGAAATCAGGCCAGCTTTCCTTTTCCTGGGGCCAAGTCATAGAAGGCAACTGGGGATTCCTCTGGTTCCATTTTTCCATCCATCGCATTTAAAATGTGATGATGATGATTTCGATGTGTTAAGCCACTTGCTTAATGAGGGAGTGAAGTGGAAGGGAGCTTTTTCAGAATTCATGCTTAGGATGACTCTTCCTTCACACCTAGAAATAGGCAATTGGGGTGTTTCTGAACATGGATTTATCACTTTAGCACAACAGAAGCCTGTGTTCAAAAGTAGACTGGATTACAAGTCACACGTGCACACTAGGATGTGGTGTGAAACAAAATAAGATGGGAAAAACTAACACAAACTAATATTAAGCAAAGAAGAAAAAAGCAACAGATCATAGAAAAAGCAGAAAATGCAAGAAAAGAAAGAGATAAAAGAAAAAGCAAAAAGTGGAAGAAAAGTTTTGACTTCATGACCAGCAATGTCTGAAAGTATCTAAGAAATACCTATAAAGATAGTAATTGTGATTGATCAAAGCATAATAACAACAGTAATCACAAATGGCATCTTAGTATGTCAAAGCCAGAACAGTGTTGAACATACAACCCACACACAGACACACACGTATACCAATGCTTTGATATTGATCACTGTGACAGTTTTAAAATTCATCCTTGATGGAGGCCTTGAAGACCCAGATCTCTGGAAAAGACTTTAATGCTGAGAAAGATGGAAGGAAAGAGAAAGATGACCAGCAGCAAGATGGATGGACACGGTGATGATGGGTTCATCCCTGAAGATCTGAAAGACTAGGTTAGCAATAGATTGTCTGGGAGAAAATGTGGTCTTTAGGAGTAAAACAATGATTTAATGGCACAGAGTCAATCAATCAAGTAAGAAAGCAAAAAAATAAAGAACAGCCATGCCAAATCAACGTTGGCAGAAGCAGTAGAAAAGCACTTAATGGTGGCAGAAGGAAGAACATACCTCTTTCCTAGTTTAAATTCACTTTCTGGGTGGCACAGGATTAGTGCCCTCTCTTTAAATACAGGACTAGAGTTTTTTAAGCCCATCTTTATATGAAGCCCCAATTAGACTAACAATACCAGAGAGGCATTACAAGAGCAGATGCTTCTGTAAAAACCAAGGGTGCAACCTATCCTATAGCCTCAGCTAAAATGGCCCTGAAAGGCAGATTCTAGCCATTGGAAGGGAACAGGTGTGCCAGTCTGACCTGAACAGATGCCAATGCATGGTTGCACCAGCAACAATATCATCAGTGAAACAGGCAAAACATGGCAAGAGAAGAGGGAAAATGCTACTTTAACAGGAGCACAGCTAAGGATGATTTTGAGCTTCCTCAGATCTTTGTGCTGGGGGTGACACAAAGACTATTTGATGTGGACATGAAGAAAGTGGCTACTGGGGCATTGTCACGCAGCAGTTAAGGGGAAGTGGCAAAATTCCTTAGTAATCACTACTTTTTCTCAATAGAGCACATTAGTAGCTCTCTTCCTTCCTTCTTCTGTTCAGTATTGTTCTTTGCATGCAGATGGAGATATAATTGTGAACTAGCAGCTTGACAGTAGCGGTTTCAAAGTTCCCTATCTGCAGAAAAGCCGGCCTAGAAACTTCCCAATACAAGTGGTCCTCGATGTACGACCACAGTTGAGCCCCAAATTTCAATTGCTAAGCAAGACAGTTGTTAAGTGAATTTTGTTCCATTTTGCATATTAAGCAAATTAATTAATTAAGCAAGTCAGTTCATTTCACCTCCAAGTCCCTTCCAACTTTATTATTATTATTATTATTATTATTATTATTATTATTATTATTATTATTATTATATTCCACATTCACATTGTAATTCTGTCTTTCAACCTTTGGATTTTATTTTTCTGCATGGCAGCCTGGACAACTAGATGCCTCTAAGGCTTTATTCTAGCTACGCCATGAACAGCATTTGTTTTCTAAATGATCTTCAGTTCTTCCTTGTTCCATGTTAAGTGCTATCCAACCCAACAGGTCTATTATCAGCACTGTATTACCAATCATTTAATATTTTCTATCCATGTGATTTTCTTAATAAAGTGCAGGAGAGGTTTACCATTACCTTCTCCCACGCAGTATGAAATTATGCCTTTGCCATTGTCCCTAAAACTGTAATTTGCTTCCAGCATCTTACTATATCGCTGTTGCCCATTTGCTTTAGCTGGACAGCTGGGATGACCTTCACAGCTTGGATGACCTTGTTGAGATTATATACTCTTGGCATATACTCCTCCAATAAACACCCCACCACTACCACAGTGAGGTGGCACAGCAGGATTTTGAGGGCATGGGAAGAAGGCTTTTAATAGGTTGGGTAAATTTGTTGTATCTAACCATACTATTCTGAATTTTAAAAAACTATCTGTTGCAATGCAATATTTCTGTTTCATACTGACATTTTGCTAGCTAGCTATTATATTGTCATAGAAATATTTTCACATATTTTAACAGATTGCTGTTTTAAAATAATAAAATAAAAAATAAAACTAATAATTTTAACTGTTTGCTTAATACGAATGTTTCACGTTGCTGTTTTTGATATTATAATTATATTCATGTATCTTAGTAACTTTGGTGTTCTACATCAAGAAAAAGCAAAACCTACAATAAAAATTCATTGTGCATTTTTTTTTAAAAAAAAACCTCAGCCTTTTTTGCAAACAAAGTGGAACAGGAAAGCAAAACCAACACAGGCAAAACAAATCAGAAGTGTTGTCCATCCACCTTTGACCGTGTCTTTACTGCCAAGTGAGTATTCCTTTTCACATTAATGTTCAAAGAGAGAGAGAGAAAGTTCCATATATTTTATTTATTCTTACTGTTGCAGATGTGGCTGCAAGAATGGCAGAATCTAAAGAGGTATTCTGGAACTCGAATCTCGCTAAGGCTGCTAAATATACCTGTTCAGGGCTTTTTTTGTCATAGAATGCCCAGAACAGAGTTCCGGCACCTTTTTTGGATGGAACCTTGTAGGGTAGGCAAGGCAGGTTGTATGACACGTGTGAGTTCTGGCACCTTTTTTTTTTTTTTTTTACAAAAAAAGCACTGTACCTGTTACAGAAGTGGCTTTCCTGGGAATTTGTGGAGCCAAGCTATACAGCAATTTGATTTTAAACACAATTCCTATCTACCTCACCAGCCCTAGAAGGCTGGCCTTCAATTATGAAGCTATTTCTTGGTTACGTCAATGGAGATAACAGGGCATTTCACCTACATACTTGGGCTGCAAGACTCTAGAGTCCAGACAACCTTTAATGGATAGTAAAGGGTTAATGTTTTCTGTTTCTCTTTGTGGTCTTTTCATGATCATGCAGACTTTTGCAACCCAAATCTGGTAGCCCCAGCACCCAGTGGTCTCTAATTCAACTATTGTATGCATAGTCAGAAAATTCTCCAACCACGTATACAAAGCAAAATCAGGGATGTCCACACACAATACATTTTTTAAAAAAGATGGCAACAACGGTGCCATCAACTCTCCACTTGCTTCCCATGTGTGTTTGTGGGTATCTCACAAACTAATATATATTACAAACTAATAAAACTAAACGCAGAAAGGAAAAGAGAGGCAAGAAAAAGGAAGAGGACAAAAAGAAAAAAGAAAAAGAAATAGAAAGAAGAAACTTCAGATTTCCTTTGCAGGAAATATAAGTAGAATTACAAATTATCACTTATTGTATGATTACAAAAGAAAGTTCACTCTTTTCTGTTATCCACTTTTTCCTAATCATCAAAACTACAAATTATAAATGCATTGATTCCATTTTTTGTGAAAAGTCTATAAGGTGTTTTCAGTCAATCATAAATGTACTGTAGATATTGTTTTTTCCTCTAACCAAGTTAATTTAGCCATCTCAACAAGTTTCATCAAGAAACCAAAGCCAGGTTTTAGAATTTTCCAGAACCTTAGAAGAGAAGGCACCATCCTTATCCCCGGGCGAGATGCTCCTTTCAGAGGGTGGAATTTATGATTAAAAAATTAATTTATGAATCTATTATTAAACTTGTGTGCCATCTGACTCTCAACATCTCCTTGATTTTTCTGCTTTGCCTCCTAACAAATACACCATATTCTGTTTGTTGAACTAGAGAATAATTTTACTTTCAAATATTTCAGTTGAAATTTCACTTTGAAATATATATTTATACCATACATGCACACACACAAACACCCCCACACACCACACACACACACACTTTTTAAAGGCATAGTTTTAATAAGTTCCCCTAACATATTGTATTTTATACATTATTTCCTTAATATATGCACATTTGATAAGATTTTTCCAGTTTTTAAATTCATGTAACTGCTGGCTGTTTCACCACAAAATACAGAGAAATGTAAATCATGTAAACAAGAAACTGGATACTTGCAAGCTAAACAAATCTCTTATGCATCCTTGGCAATGGCCACACAGTCTCCTATGTAAAGCAGAGCACTGAGTGAGACCTATGTTGAACTAAACTTTGTGTAAATATTATTTATGCTGAACAATTTTATTTAAGACCTTTAACAGATTAAGAAGCAAAACAGGATTTATTTTAGTTTATACACTACTTGTTAACTACTTTTAAAAATTTCATGGGTATGGATACATTCTCTTAATCTCAGTAGAATGTGCCCTCACTCTTCCTCTTCCTAATTTTACTCCAGCCAAAATTGCAGAGATGCATATCCTACCTTTCTTGCTGTCCTTTGGTGTGCTGGCCTGTTGTGCAGCCAAGGTAGGTAATCCACACTTCAGATCCTGCTCTTCAGTCTGAAAAGCTCCCAGAGACGGTCCTCAACTGTTGGTTTATGTAATAAAACATAACAAAAGGAAAAATGGGTGGAGAAAGGAAAGGAAAATAATAGATGCTAATTCTTATCATTACATGGACCTTATATTAAAATTTATTTCCCCAGTCCCTTTTATGAGAATAACAAGAGTTGGAATGGACCTTGGAGGTCTTCTAGTCCAACTCATAGCTCAAGCAGAAAACACTATACCATTTCACACAAATGGTTGTTCCATCTCTTCTTAAAAACCTCCAGTGCTGAAGCATCCATAGCTTCTGAAGGCAAATTGTTCCACTGATTAAGAACATTTTTTTCTAAATTCTCCTTTTGAAAGATTCTTGCTAGAGATCAAGATAAGTAAGTGAGGTGGCTCCATTTAAAAGCTATGGGAAGAGATCTAATAATATAAATATCATCCTAAGGCATACACATAGATATTTTATAGCATGATGTTGGCTATAAACAGCTGTTTTCATAAACAGCAATTGTCTGTTAATCATGGTTCATGGTTTAGCACAGTATATGAAACCAACGAGCTGTGGCCTAGACATCATGGGCATCTGCAGAAGGACATATGATATGTGCATTATGATATCATTGCGGCTTCTACCAGATGCTTATGTAAACTATAGCATATATGACTTATAATGATGTGTGAAGTCAGCTCATCTAAAAACAGGTTCCTCCTTTCTTTATTTTAGTTGCGGCTGCCTTTGCTGGATTGATGTATTTGTTTGTGAGACAAAAATACTTTGTTGGCTACATGGGAGAAAGGACCCAGAGGTAAATCCATCATTTTTTCCCAGAGCTGTCAGATGAGCATTTGAGTTATTTCTCCCTTCTGCCAGTGCTACAATTACTAATCCCATATTCTGTAATTCTAATTTGTCTCTCTCCAGATGTTTTAAACTATATCTCCAATAATCAGCTGAAATTGCAAGAGTTGTAGTGCAAAACATCTGGAAAAAACTAAGCCAGGCAAGACTGTTTCAGATTTGCCCTCTCAAGCTAATTCAGTCTGACAAATAAAAGATGAAAAGTCTGCCATTCTAAATAGGATTGGGGGATTGCCAGGCAGAGCAGGAAATGAATAGAATAAAGGAAATAGATCTACCTTGTTTTGTTCTCTGCAGTTCCTTGTGCTTTAAATCCATATGCAAACAACATTCATATATTCATTTATTTTATTAAGTTTATTTGCCTCCCATCTTGCAGTTCTAGGCAACTCGGAGTGTCTTATATGCTTGAGTTACATATGTGCAGTGCATCTATCTGCCACATATATATAGTTATATACGAATGAGTTACTACATATATAAACTGACAATTTATAGCACACCCAGAGGACCAGCCTTCTCCTTCACAAACTCTCCAACATCGTTCCTCACTATTCAGACAATTCCATACCCTTTCTGAGATCAGGATGCTGAAAACAAATTGGAACTATGCTGAGATCAGTAACTTATTTCTAATGGCTACCACGTGCATGGTGGCTATTGGGTTTCTTACAAAGACAGTATAGTGGAACAGAAGGGGTTATTATATCCTGAAACTAAGTGTAAATTCAAAATTACTTAACACAGAACAGTTGAGTCTTAAGTATTTAGAGATCCTGAGTGTGCACTTTTGCAGAGTGCATATGAAGAACTTAATGTTAGATTACAAAGAAGTTAGATTCAAAACATAACATAGAAGACCACAAAAAGTTCATCAACCTTCCTTGGATTAGAACATCCCTTTCATCCTGTTTGCCTTTACCAGTGTCAAGCACCACTTGTTTCATAGCCACTGCACTGTTTTATATACAGGACACATCAACTTATAGCAGTAAGCACTGAGATTATGGGATAGTCAGCTAAAGCAGACGCAAGCAATATTTTTGCAACTTTTAAAAGTTTTTTTAAAAAAATATTTAACACGTCCAATATTTAACAAAAGTCTATGATATTAGCAGGAGGGGTGGTACTAGAATTTTCAGCCCCTATTGGATAGGGGTGGGTGCTATTATTTGGATTCCTAAAACTGTTTTCAGAGGTTTACTGTATTCTAGTGATGATTTTTTTAAAAAATGAAAAAAAATCACATTGCCAAAATCATCAATAAGTCATTTTAAGTAGACATAAATTAAGAGGCATATTAATCTATCCCTATATATTTTAAAATGTATTGCATCAAATTTATATGCTACCATAATTTCACAACTCTGCTGCAGAGATATGGATTCATGCAAAATTTTACTCCATCTAAGCTATACTGTATTCAAATGGATCTTGCTTTGATAAGAGATTCAGAAATTTTGGTATTTCCTAATGAACTAATAACATTCTTCCATTCTCATTTAAGCACTCCTGGTTACATCTTTGGAAAACGCGTCATATTTTTTCTGTTCTTGATGTCTGTTGCTGGAGTCCTCAATTATTACCTGGGTGTCTTTTTTGGAAGTGACTTTCAAATATATATAAAAACTATAACCAATACTATCTCTCCACTATTGCTCATTCCTTAAATCCTTGTAGAATTGAAGGTGAGATAGCACAGAAGAGATGTTTGTACTTAGCCAATCAATATTTGGAGGAAAAAGGTTGAAATGGATGCATAAATCTCCTCTTAGATTGCCATAAATCTAATGCTCCTAGACTTGTAGTTTTGATTTAACACAGCTTTTTTCATCCTACAAGAAAGTGATTTATTGTACCCAATCAGCAGATTTGTGGTTGGAGAAGAAGTTATAGAACTCACCATAGGTTTAGTCACTGTAGTTTTCTATTATTTTTGTTTTATTTACTTTGCTTTTAATATAAGATAAAAAGAAATGTGTCTGATTTTACATCAAAATGTCCATTGATTGTCAGTCATTATCAGTCAAATTCAGGTTGTTCTTCAGAGTATAGATTCAATCGCTAGGTAATTATCCTCAACCCAGAGAGTTTAATTTAATAATAAAACAGAAAATAAGACCTTTAGCTGGATTGTTTTGCATCATGTTGGCATTTAAAATAAAGTTGTTCATAATGATGAAATTAGTTCTGTAGTCTGTATACTGTGATCATATGTATTTCTCAGAGCATAGTACTGGATGTAATATTGTGCACACAAAACAGGCAAATCACTGACATTAATATTGTTTTTTTCAAATGGCCTATATTTTGAGATAAACTGATGCCATTATATTTTCCACTATACAAATTGTTTTCACATTTGTATGTCTTGCAGAATATGTCTTTGTATTTGCCTTTTCAGATGTAGTCTGTATATGAAACGATAGTTGCAGAAGGAATCCACGAAGTGTTAGCTGAAAAATAAATTATATTTTCCCCAAGATTCTGTGATTTTGTGTTTCTTTTTCATTTGAAGCAAGCAAGATCTGCAACAATTTGCAGTGCAGAACACTTTTTTCCCAGGGATTAAGCTAAGTGAGCATCCATGCTTCTTTTGAGAAGTTGGAATTTTAAAAAAATTGTTTACCATAATAACTTATAAGAACTGGTGAGCAAGTAGGACGTTTTAATGAGAAAGTGATACTATTTTGCAGGAGAGCGAATGCAGTCTTCTGTTGAACAGTTTCTCTTCATGACCTTTTATTTAAGTGAAAAATAGTTGCTGCCTTCCCTAGGAAGAGTCACGGCTACAGACAGATTTCATTTCATCCTAAGAGCAAGACAAGAAAGAATACTTTGTAGCTGCAGATAAAAAAGAATGTAATTGTTGTCTAATGAGACACTGAGATGAATAAGCAAAGCAAGTTATGACATCCCCTGTGCTGGGAGATGCACAAACATCAGCACAATACATCAATGGCTATAACACAATTAATTCTGCATCATGTCAGATGACCTTTAAAGGTCACTGTGGAGATCTGAAGGCCTCTATTAGTGTGAAGATTATGTAGCACCACAATAAGGCCAAAATCTCAAATACAGTTCAGGATTCATTATAATCTGGATTAATCCAAAGAAAACTGAACTTCTTTATTTCAGTACATCTATTTATTTAGTTGCTGTTTTAAGAAATGTTTTAAGTTCAGCATCTTTAGCAATTCAAACTTTAACCCAACTGTACTCTACAGTCATATCAATTTCTCACAACAAGATTTATCGTGTGTAACTAGCAGACACAATCTGGAAAAGGGAGGTATTATATTAACCAATAGTTTGGGTCAATTTTAATTAGATGTAAATTAAATTAAATCAAATTTGGCTTTTAACTTTGCCTTACCCAGTTCTTTGCCCAGGTCTCCTGGTTTTGAAGCGCAATCCCTTATATGCTACTTGGAAACCAAATGTGATCCCCCATCTCCTGATCCTCTAAGTCAATGTTTTGCAACTTTGTCAACTTTAAGTTGTATGGACTTCAACTCCCAGAATTCTCTAGCAAGCAAGCCAGCTGGGAAATTCTGGGAGTTGAAATCCACACAGCTTAAAGTTGTGGGTAGCTATGGGAACAATCTTCAACTAACTCTTTAGTTGTCAGAAGGAAGATAAGAGTGATCATCTGTTGCCCCAGGGATGGGGCCAAAACCAAAGTAAAGAGGAGGAACTACCTGACTAGATGAGTTATCAGTCAGAGGAAGAGGCTGCAACATGAAGTGGTTAGTTCTTCTTCATAGGAGATCTTCAAAACAGATTCATAGTGATGCTGTTGATGCTCTGATCCAGTATTTCTCAACCTTGGCAACTGGGCAGCCCTGAAGAGCTGGCTGGGGAATTCTGGGAGTTGGAGTCCACATATTTAAAGTTGCCAAGATTAACAAATACTGCTCTAGTTAATACTTCACTGAGGGAAGAATGAGCAACATGGCATCTAAGCTCCCTCCCAACCCTACACTTTTCTGATTGGCCACTTTTCTGTCCTCAAGCATTTACTGTTTTTATTGGAAAGCCAGCAGCTTTATATCTGAATTTTTTAAATATTTATCATCCTGCAACATCCTTCTCATTTGTGTCAACTCTTCAGATTCCCTTCTTGTAAATGTCAGTTCAGGTATAGGATTTGCCTGCCTTTTTTCCAGTAAGATGCAAATTCAACTTTTTTTGCAATCATGTTATATTCCTTAGCACCTCTCTCAATTCTAATAATCCAAGCACTTTAGAGTTAATAATGTGAAGATACATTATGTGTAGGTGTGCATATAGTGATGGTGAATTCCAGCAATGTGCTCCTCAGATTCTTATCTTTCTTTCTTCATTGTCTGCCCTGATTGCTCTTGACAAGGTGTGGGTCTTCTCGTTCTTTCTTTCAGTAAGTTTTCTGTTCTGTGATAGAAAATCCCTTGCATCTAAAAGCTTCTCCGAGTGGGTCCATAAATCACATTGGCTTCCTTGCAGTGTGGAAATGGTTGTGCTATCTTTCTTTAGCTACAGCAAGGGTGTCCAACCTAGGCAACTTTCAGACTTGTGAACTTCAGTTGGCTGGGAATTTTGGTAGTTGAAGTCCATAGGCCTGAAAGTTGCCATGATTGGACACACCTGATCTGCAAGATACATTCTACTTAAACTTCTATTATTTTTGGTTTGAAAAGCCCAAAATGTCCTGGACACATGTGTGCTCAGGCCTGAATCTTTAGTTTGTTTCTTCTACTATCTAAAGAAACCTTTGCAGATACTGCCTTTTAAAAGACTGTTAATAACTCAGACCCCAAAAGTAATTATTTTACCGGAGTTAGAAAGTGCCATCTAGAGGACATCTTTGACATAATAATTCCCAGACAAGAATTTAACCTGAGTGTTCATCTGCAATTATGCCACATTCAAATTTGTTAACTTACAAAATGAATCTCACCTCGCTCTATTTCATAGGAGAAAACCCCCAAATATTTCAATAGCAGGAGTCACATTTTGCCACTATACGGAAATAAGCAGCAACAGATCTAGTAGTAGGTTTTTTTGTACATAGTCTGATTGTTTTCAACTTCAGAAAGGAACTTGTTTGCTATATTCACACAGAATCAATACTCAGTGATCAGCCACCTTTTACATGGTCATCAGTTATAAAAAAATATTTCTCTTTCCTCCCCCATTTTTCTATTAGATCTATACATCCTGCTCACCTATAGTTTGATCCATTGTATGTACTAAAGACGACAAAAAAAATTTCAGCATGCAAGAGAAGCACAACAACATTCATCCCAATCACATTATATCCTGGATTATTATATAAACTAGGCATTGTGGGTTTGTTGTTCATATGCCAAAAGACGTCTGAGATTTTTTTTTTTTTTAAAGGTAGGGTTCCACATTCCAATTGAGAGTGTCATTGATGCTAAAATGGCGAATTTGACTTCTTTGATCAGAGAAAAGACAACATGTTTATTGCTGACTAGAAAACCCTTATGGACTTTTTGCATAGAAAATAATGAATTTAGGATTTACAGTTTTAATGTTTATATAGACAGGATAAATTACAGAAAGAAGAGAGTTATCTTGTAAACACAGAGAAAGAGGTAAAATTATTCTTGTATTTATAATGGTTATAAAGAAGATCAGAAACTACCTCTTAGCATCTTTTTTTCTTTCTTTTCTATTTTTCTTTTACTTTTCCCCCTTTTTGCACTTTTAGCTTCCTTTTTATTTTTTCTTTATTTTATATTAATTTGTATTAGTTTTTATGTTAAAACTAATATATGTTATTATTATTTTTTAATAAAAATTATGTAAAAAGAGTTATCGCTGATGATTTCAGTCTTCCCTCCCACTGGGATTTCTTCTTTTAGCCATCTTAGCCAATGAAATGTTATCTAACAGTGTGCACTCAATTTTGTAATCTTGTGCTGGCCTATTCATGGTATTGTATAAACATGGATATATAGAAACGTCAACTCGGGCTGTGCTAGCTTCTGAGTTCCAATGAAAAACAAGGCATTCCTTAAATTTAGCTTCTTGAGGAAGTATTCAGTCATTGATTACTCTACACAAGTAGAGCAAATGTGATTTGATAGAGTTCGTATATTTGTTGCTTATATGCTGCCCATATCCTTCTGTCAGTCCTCTCAACAAAGCTGGATCAAATGGATATTAAAAAAATAATGTTCTTTCAAGTTGAGCTCAACCCCAGGTAAGTCTACTGGAATATCTGTGCATGGCTTTATAGAAGTACCAAAGATGTAGTTCCACCAATGTCCCATTTTAAAATTTCCCAGTCTAGTTTTAAGCCTTGGAATAAGTTGGTGCAGTCTTGATTTGGGCTTGATTTGAACCAAGAATAAACTAGGCTCAATCCTGTTTTGCTTCTGAGCTCAGACACGGTCAGCCAATGATGAGATAGAATTTAGTGTGATCCAGTTATGCATCCCTTATATTTTTTCTCTCCAATTCTATTTCGTTTGCTAATTTCTGTCACAAATGCAGACAGTAAAGTACATTTTCATAAAATCTCTAAAATAACTTCCCTTCTTCTGCTTTTTCATTTAGTTGCCAGCAGTAGCTTTAACCAGCAGATGGTAGTACTAACAAAAGTTCTCTCCATTTAAAATGTAAAACATCTGGGCTGGCTGATTTATTTTCAAATGATACACAAAGGCAACAAGAAGCAAAGCACAGTTAACAGTACAAGTGGACAAAGTTCTTCACACAGAATACCATGCAGCTACAAAATGCAGAAAGATTTCATGTGAATGCCAGGTTGTATTAGTTCTAGATTGATATTGTGCAATTACTAAGCCTAAAGAAACAAAATATATCTTTAAGCTTCCATGTGAAACCAGGAAGCATCAATAGATTGATTCTAATCCTTGTGGTGGTTTAGTGACCAAAGTGTTACACCAGGACCCGAGAGACCCAGACTGTACAGAAGTCTACCCACAGCCACAAAATCTCAATGGGTGACTTTGGGACAGTCCTTCTGTACATCAGCAACTTAGCGCAAACAACTGCTGTTGTGGAGAGAAAGATAGACACCTTGTGGCAAGATAGATGGCAAACAAATTTAATAAATACATAAAAATAAACTGCTACTAATACAAACATTCAGTGACCATACCAAGTCACACCGGCAGTGAAAAAATTGACTTGTTTTTCACACTTACTATTGTTGTAGCATCCCCATGGTCATGTGACCAAAATTTGAACACTTGGCAACTGGTTTGTATTTATGATGGTTGCAGTGTTCTGGAGTCATGCGATCACCGTTTGCAATCTTCTGACAAGCAAAGTCAATGGGAAGCCAGATTCATTTAACACCTCCTGGTCATTGTAAAAGATTGTGGTGCCTCCTCTATGGTCACATGACTGTATATTGGACAGCTGGCAACTGGACACCTTTACAACCAGTTGTGTCATTCCCCAGTGATGTGACCATGATTTCTCTCTCTCTCTC